TATATATAAATTGATGAAATTTTGGTCTATAAATTAGAAGGTAATTCATTCAATTCAGATTGGCTCTAGGGTTGTATTTTCACTATAATCATAAGTCAGCTAAGTGAGCGGTACTTCAAAACGCGTTTTACGCCAAGATGGCTGTTTTAAAAGCAGACTCTCAAGTGTTATGACGTCGTCCATTGAAACCCCGCTCGACGTGCTGCGGTACATGAGCGCCTAAGCTAGAAATAATTAGCCGAACAACTTACTGACAAATTAAAATCGCCGGGCATAGGAATAGGCGAGCAGAAAAAATGTTGAGAACGGAGCAGGCAGAAAGGGGCGAAATCCTTTGCTGTTCGACAGTATAGTGGAAAGTTACCAAATAGTAGCTAATAGTGCGCCTATTTGCCCTTGTTAAGTACACAGAGACTACATAAGGAATATTTGATGGCAGTAAAATTTGTAGTAGTACTATGAGCTCGTGTCGTTGTTGTATTGGCAGTAATAGTTGGCCGAACACATTTTGTACCGCGTCATCTTTGTCCGTAATCACGTACAGCCGTCAAGCGCAACGCCGTATTGCGTTTGCTTATCAATCCTTTTCTCGAACTCACCTAGAAAGATTTTACTTTAATGGCTAGCACATTTGATGTTCTGAGCGAGCGAAATGAATGATGAGGCCGTCAAAATGCTCCTGAAAGACGCACGAGTCTGGAACACATTTCGCATGATAGCCTATTATGATTTGTAACAGTTTCATTGCTACCATCACCGTAAAACTTTGTGTTAGCTATCAAATTCAACGTTTTCAGCGCCTGTTTTTTGTATTGTTCCTTACGGGCTTTCGCAGTCGATTCGATTAAGTGTAGCTTTATGTCACGCAGACTGCTAATACCATTTACAGCTTAGATCGTATTATACACAATCGTGTTCCACATAGCTAGCTAGCTAACTCTTATCATCTAAACACTATCAAACGACCCGGCGCCCGCTCTATGAGGGTCATGTTTTCCCGCGCACTTTTTAGATAAAAATGAAATCGAATCCAAAAAAGCAACGTAAATGAATGTCCTTAACAGAGAGCACTGAACGGAGTTATTTATATAAAACCGGGATTATCGTTAGACACATCGAAATTAACTATATGACTTCGCCTATCTAGTGTAGGAGCCTTAATTGGTCTGATATAGTCGACTAATAGTATCGACTGATATTGTATAAGCTATACGTATTCAGAAGTGTATGAGGTCTTCTGACGCTACTAGCAACTAACTACTTACGCACCAGGTGTCCTACCCACGCTGTTATTACAATCGTTGTTATTGTTCAGTATTATAAAGCCATTTCCGTCAGATACTGTTTGCATACTATTACTGCGCGCGGTACCATTATGCGATGAAGTAACTCCTTACGTGTTAGTACCGTAATGCCTCTTATAGATGATAGGAATAACAACATGTTACAGATGAATGTAAGGGGCTAGCGTTCTCTTCCTGTGCCTTTCTTCCGACTGCTTTCCTAAAACTCCTCAGCCGTAGCATGTTACAACCGCCACCACGAGCATCACTAGCCCTGTCATTTAGGACTATTCCATCCATCAGTAGGCGCTCTCTCGGTAATTAGGCAAATTATCGTTCAGAAACGCGCTGGCATCCATCCCTTCCTTCCTTCCTTCCTTCCTTCCTTCGTACTCTCTTTTTCTGTGTTATCCTCCTTCTCTACGGACTCACTATCCGACAGAAGTCAGCAATGCCACGGCAAGGATGCATACCTTTCAGCCTTGCTTCTCCACTTAGACCTCGGTGTTACTAGTCGTTCTCGGTAAACCTTGCTGGCCTGTCCTGGTACTCAAACTCAGCAAAGCTTTCTCGTCCGACAGGTGGCCTATGGGGCCAGTTCGTGTATAGTCGCTGTTCATGGCAACGCCACTGCTATAATTGGTCGTCTGCTATACGCTCCCAATCCTAATCAATGTCCGTACTCAAAAGAGGGAGGTGTTGCAAAAGGAGGTGAAAATTACTGAGTCCTTCACGTCGTCCTTCTCTGTTTCAGCCTCTTTCCCCGTTCCCCTCCTTTAGTTGAAACGTTGCTCCGTAGTCTGTCCAACCGACACCACCCCCTCGAGCGCCTCATCGTATCTTGTTGGCCGTATCACAGCGTCAGTCAATGGCTGAACGTCTTGATGAAGGTTGGGGCAGAGAAGCCAGGCGTATTACGGCAAGATTTAACTGCCCGTGAAGCAAGATGCCAGCTTAGTAGCCAACGCTAATGACAGCTGAGCGTGGCCAAGCGCTGATTCTAGCTGTGTCTAGGCTGAAACTCTCTAGTTCCCTGCTATGCAACTCGACAAGCGTCGTTTCGACCAGCGAGGCAACAAGCGGGGCGAACTGGCGGCAGCGAAAGTAGCCTCTTCAAGGCAGTAAAGGGCAGCCAGCCAGTGTAGCAGCCCACGCGAATGCCCCTAGCCTACCGACTTCCCTTTGAACAAAGTGTCCCACAAAAATCCTGCGAAGTCAAAGCTTCTAAACACCCCTTTTGGGTCGTCCCTCAATGAGACCCTGGGACAGCGATCGACAGGCAGAGAAGTGAAGTCATAAGGCTCCGGCTGGATTCAGCTTAGCTTTGCAAGCTAAGAAAGGGGATACCATACGATGTGTTAATATGGAAAGTGTACACGATCTGTGTATGGGGTACGTAAGGGGGAGACGCGACGCTGTGAGAAGGATAAGCGGAACGAAGACAGGCGACTCTTCGGGTCTCTTGCAAGTCGGGTTCCCCTTCTCTACGGCGAGCCCCGCTGCCCTAGATGAAGGTGGTGTCAACAGGTCCCTACAGCGATGAACTTGGTCGTGCGAGTTCAGAGGAAGCGGCTCCGCTAGGAATGCACGTCTGTCCACGCTCGGTCCAGTAGGGGAGGTGTCAGTCTACGAGAGGCGGAGTCCAATGAAACAGAGAGACACACACTCAATCCAATCTAACCTGTCGTGAGCCAGCGAAGGCCCTATTCGGTATTCTCGCTTTCGAGCTTCACCCGTCGTACAGCTAATTTGAGACGACTATAGTTAGAGTCCTTTTTCATGTGCTTCTCCCTAAAGGAGCACGCTTCAATAGAGGATGACTAGGTAAGACCTCGACGGCGGCGACAAGAACAACTTGAATACCGGAGCTCGGCAGAATTTGCTTGAAATAAGGTTAACATTAAGGTTGCTATAAGAGTGCATATGTCAGGCTCGCGTGGGTAAACAAACCGTGTTTTAAACCGTGTAGATGACTACGTAGCGCTGAAAGAGGTGATTAAATGTATAAGGTAACTCACAGAGTAATTTGGGATCTAGGTCCTTCTTGCATGAATTGTCAGCTTTTTTAATGAAAAACATATTGAAACTTAAATTACCAGTCCAGACACGTTAACCAATCAAACGTCAATAGGGTTTTGACGTCTACTGGACGTTGCCGTACAACAAGTACTCTCTAATAAACTAGTAATCACTGCTTTACATAATCCTAAAACAATAGTACACAGTACTATCATATTATAACATAATCGTACCAAACTTATCGAAATCATTTCTAGAAAATCAAGACAAGTGAGCAAGATAGACAGAGGAACCCTACCGCGTTTACGTTGCCCACGGCCTTGTCCCAGTAGTTCGCCTTCAACTAAATGTCACGCTTCACTTTTACAGCCATCATACTCTAACGCGTCTGCGTAACGTAACGCAAATTAACCCACCTGCGTCTCGGTGACGTTGAGCAACTTGGCCATTTCTGCGCGTTCGCTGGACGAGAGGTACTTCTTGAGCTCGAACTGTTTCTCGAGCTCGAAGATCTGCCGGCCGGTGAACGTGGTGCGTGCCTTCTTCTTGCGCTGTTGCTGAGCGAGCGCAGCTGCCTTGTCACGATCAGCGGGGCTCTGATTCTGTGAATTGGACCCGGGTCCACCGGGTCCAACCCCACTGGTCGTATTATCCGATGACGAGCAGTCGGAATCGACAGCTGGAGACGTGGTCAACGCTAGCGGCGACATTGGAGGACTGGAGTCCCCCAGAGTGCCAAGTGAAGGCGCTCCGATGCCCATCAACCGGGCCCTTTTCGTTGTCCCGTCGACGCTCGTCGTATTGGTGGTCGTGTTATTGTTGTTGTTACTGCTATTATTGTTATTATTCAGGAACGCTAAAAGAGAAGATAACAGGAAAATAGAACAAGTGAGAAAGAACACAATAAACGTTAAAAACTGATCATATTGTGCTACTGAGAGGGATTTGTGGATACAGAGGTCTATGTTATCAGCTACATTAATGTCTGATCAGCGTGCATACGTCATCAGAGTTTGACACGTACTAACTTGTGAAAAATGATGTTCATGGTCAAGTATTTTATGGGTGAATCCGTGTACTACAACAGCCGGCTGCGTCAGAGAGCTGGAACCAGCAGGTTTCCAGTTCTAACCTGATAAATTGATGCGGTGAAAATTTCTTGATAATGCAAATTAGTATAATTTTAATCATTATATAATCCACAAAATTCGCTATTATGTCTCGCCTTTACTAGAACGAACTTCTCAAATCTTAGGCTCTTAGTCCCTAGTTAGGCCCTAGTCACCGAATGTATGTAAGGACATTATAAAGAAATTATGAAGCAGAATTGGTGGTTCGCGACATTAATTTTTAGCACTTCGAGTAAACTTTGGAAAACCATGCACCATCTTTGCATATGTTCGATTTAGTCTGTTTTCGTTATTGGTATGCACCGAAAAGCGGGTGATTCTGATAGTCATAGCTAAATTGAAAGCACCAGCCTCGTTTGTGTTAAGTTGTTGGCCACCGGTAGTGAAGATGTATGGCTTTATCGAGCGAGTGCTCTATTGCGAACCAAAAGCTTAGGTAGAAAGAGGCCAGCTGGGCGTCGTCAGAGCTCTATCCGAAGTAAATACAATGTGAAATCAACAAATGATCCACACATGTACACACCCACGTACAGTGCTATCGCGTGCCCAATAGACACCTCACTAGATAGCGGAGGGCCCGCCTTAATAGGTGAAAATTGGGGGCAACAATAGGGGGTTATAATGCGCCTTCAGAGGATTCTTTTTCGACCGAAGGCGGATTCCCGCAACCCAGTGAAGACTTAGAGCCCCACCAACTAGCCGCATCAACAGCACAGTAAAAAGAATAAAGGTATTTGGGCCTCGACTACATGTTTTACCCCATTGTGTGTTGTTGTCTTCAATGTCTGCTTACTGTAAAAATCCCCTCCTATCCTATCCCCTCCTCTCCCGCCAAGGAGAGCGTTGAACAGACTGCTTTATCGGAGTTGACTGAAGCAAAAACAAACAGAGGGACGGACGAGTGTTGAAATACAGCCTCTCGCTTCGCAGCTCTTTTGGCCAGGAGGAGTTACCTCTAGCACGCAGTGTGGCGTTAAGCATGCAGAAAATTAGGCAATTGTCTGGATACGTGCAATGAACATGCCATGTTGGCACAGACCAAGAACAGTTCCATGCACCAGTTGACATGCTATTACAGACAATAATAGTACCACTTTATATGTGCCCCCAATAGAGTGGCTGGCTTGTGGGTGTAGCTTCAGTGTTTCGATCATCTTAAAAGATATGGTTCCGTATTTTAGTACTGGCTATAGAATATCTATTCGGAGAAAAATGGTATAACTTCAGATCGAATTATGCCCTTACAGCGATGCTAGTTAGCGATCAATTACATAACAATACTTTTATGTTGAAAATCAATTTTATGGGGATCCCAGTGGAAAAGCAGTCACGGAGGGTTAGGAATTAGTTTCTTATATAAAATAGATTTATATTTGATATATCATATCTATTGTATTATATCTTTGTACCAGTATAAGAAATTGGATCACACGTGAATTCTGCTAATTTGCCTATCCTAGTGAGAATGGCAAATGATGCAACATCTTTGCTTTAAAAACATTTTCTTTAGTTATATTGCCCACATTTCAACAACTATATTTATAAATAATTACTCAATATACTGAACTGTTTATTTGCTGTGCCGTTTCACCGCGTTGCTTCCATTGTGAGGCTTGGGTCTGTCGGGTTGCTATATCAACCCGAAGGTCATGAAAATAGCTCGAAGTAGAGTGTACCCTCACTCCTCAAAGAGCGCCTAAAAAAACCGTTTTTTCGTATATTTAAATTTACTAGTAGTACTGAAATTGGGGGCATTTCTTGCCCAGTGGAGTGAGTCCAGCAAACGGCGATGTTAGTGTTTTGAGCCTAAAAAATCAACATCATGTAGATACAATGCGGATGCCAGCTAAAGACGATCGGGACAACTGGTTCGACCTGTTTTATTAGATATACGTATATCCTAATGAGGATCTTCTCATGCGCCTTATTCTCACGAGCTGGCAGCCATGGTAGAGGAGAAGATAGCACCGCAAAGAAGGCTTGGTCTATCGAAGACCGACTGCCTCTTTTCCCCGCAAGAACTCTCACTAAGGGTCTATAATAGAAAAAAACGTCCAAGTCAAGCGGTCCGATTTATGTAGCTATATGGACGAACGAACATCTGTCACAGCTCTAGCAAACAATAGTATAGTATATCCATTTAATTATTATGATTTCTTCCAGATAACTCTTCTGTGTAGTTGTTCGCATATAAACAGACCACTAGAAGTTGAACCCTGGCCCACTCGAGCTTTGTCGTGTCCGTCAACAATGTCATTGTTCGATAAACCCAAAGCAAACGGGTATTTCCTATCTGCTATTACAGCCTTAGCCAAGACGACGAACTCGTCTAATGACTATGTGTTTCAGTGCTGAACTGAGTGTCGCACCGCAATATCCTTCAGTATCCCGGAGCGCACCAACGGCGAAACGCTTTCTGGCACACCGCATTTTGTATCTACCTATCCAACGAGAACGGTCGCATAGAAATCATTCAGGGAAAACTCTCTACCTGTCTTTCCACGTCTCTCGCAATCTACCGATGCTAACGAAAAGACTAGACTCTTTCTGTGTTTTTCTTCCTGTGTTCCGTCCATACTAGTACAGTAATTGTTCCCTTTAAAGACATAGGCTCCCTGTCTCCGTTCGGTTTTGAAGCAGCTATAGCTCTGGTTCTTTATTGAGATCTTTCCCTGTTTCTGGTACTAGTCATTAGGTATGTGTATGTGGGCCTGAGTGTCTTATCGTTCTGTCTTTCTTCTATCCTGCACAATCCGAAGGTATGGGTGGCGATCATTTGCCACTGGCGTTTATAAATGATGGCAACACCTGTAGCCTTCATGTATAATCGCTAGATAAACATCTTACTCGCGGCCTGCCAAGCAGAAACCGGTAATATCAGCAAAACGCCTTCAAGCGTGCATGCCTAGTGGGTAGTAAGCAAAGCTCTCAGGCTAGCCGATCTTCGTCGGCTTGTTCGCCTCCCTGGCTGGGCCGATCTTACAGCTACTGACGGCAACTGTTGCAGCTCGTCGCGATATGTTTTGTACGACGTCTGGCCTTTGTATAGGGTAGGGTCTCACGTTTCTATACTGTTATTATTTTCTGTGCGAGCACCCTTGCGCCCACAAGTGTGCAGTTCCAAGACGTCATCCGCGTGGTCTGTGGTAGCAGAAGGCAGAGAAGTCTTGCGGAGACATCACACTGGGTAAGTTGCTGTTGTGAGTAAAATATGTACAAAACATCTGTTACTTACACTTGGCATTCGAGTGTTCGTTGGCCTTTCATACTTTTGTAAGACTTAAGATGACCATCGTCGCTCTCAACAAGAAATTAAAACGCAGTAGCAATTTTCTAGAGTACGTTCATTGAGTTCTCCGGGTATATCTCTACGAGTGCACGCTCTTCATACCTCCTTCAGGGTGGAAAAAGAAGATCATATTCCTTTGAAGGACTTGAATGATAGCCACAGCGGTGGCCTTTGAGCTGACTCGCGTTGCGTGTGCCGGTTGTATGGAGTGAAGTTCACTAACATAAGAAAAGAACAGCTTTTCTTTTTTACATTACTTCTACATTGCACTATCATATTTATAATGTATCAATTACGTTACGATCGTGACTCCTCTGACGCTTCGTACCCATACAGATATCGCCCGTTTGGAAACTAACGTCAGCAGATGTAGTATTGCCTATCATTCGCGATGCGTTTTACCTAAGCCGTATTTACATGTGCGCTAGCAATGTGTTACTCAGAGTTGTCATTTGCGTTATCATTATTATTTAAGTTATCCACTTGTAACTTTAAAATTGAACAACTTTTGAATTAGAACGCTTATTCCCCTAATATGCCTTAGAAGTACTCTGTTCTACTGTCTACACATTTGTCACAGTTTCTAGATACCTATGCAATTTTTTCTATCTACGGCTTTTCGAAATAAATCCGCAGTGGGATATGTTTCTCTACAAGTTACTTTTTTTAAGGCATGTAAAGCCTCCTAATCCCAGGGACCGAGATCGGGACGATAAGCGGGTTGAGTCCTACCTATATCGAATACTTCTCTATTTCATGGAGAAGGTAATTGACACATGCAGTAAAAAATCAGGTAATTCCACTGCGTGCTTGCGATTGCCGTGCCAACAGTCTCTAAATTTCTTAGTTAGCTCGAAATCGTGGGCTAAGTTTATGCTTCTATTTTAGTGAGTACCTCATAATAGAAGATGTTTTGATTATTCATTGTCTACTTGGAATTTCCGCCGAACTCTAAGGGCAAGACGACCGTCTCACCTGGGCCTTCTCAGTCTGGCCATGGCTCATTTTTTGCAAGCGTATGTTTTTTTTTATTGATTAAAACTTCGCAAATTCTACGTAAAACACATCACTCGCATTTCCAACTGGTTCAAAAATTAATTGTGAATTAATTTTTCACTTAATTACCGCCGTTTTAGAATTCCGCTTGAAATTTTGTAACAAGTTGCATGTGAAATGACAGTCTTGGTCAATAGAGCATTTAGACTTCCTTGAAAAGCCTTCCCAATTACAGCAGTGTGCTTTGGTCCTTTGGGCTTTGACATATGGTTACCTTCTCATAGGTATCCAACTCTCCAATCTCCGTTCCTGAAACGCTTGTATTATTTATATATTGTGCTTAGGGTTTCCTTGGCTGATGTCGTTACCAATCTTTGACGAAGGTTTACAACGTAGCCTCCGAAAGGCAAAAACTTGACCGTTGAGCATTAATTTCTGAAT